ATTTTATACTTCTTTCATCAAAAACCTATACATGAACGGGATTTTCAATGTCGCTGATTTCGAATCTGATGTAAGATTTTTGGAATTCAAAATGGCGGATCTAATATGGCGACCAAATTTTAATTTTTTTTTCCTTTTCAGCACAAACTCATGTAGGAGGCGTTGATTTCGAATATGTCAGTTGCCATACATAATAGGGCCATTAGTGTTTGGGGATTTTTCAGGTCGCTGATTTCGAATGTCAGATTTTTTTAAATTCAAAATGGAGGATCCAATATGGCTACCGAATTTTATAATTTTTTCTTTTCCACCAAACGCTTATATATAAGAGGGGTTTTCGAATTCGATGATTTAAAAGCTGAGGTCAGATTTTTTAAATTGAAAATGGCGGATCCAATATGGCGTTATCGGAAAAAATTTTATTTTAAAAAGTTTTTTTTTAGGTTTTGCTATATATTTGTTTCTTATCATGGCTGCTTCAAATAAAAACTTTTTCCTTTAGATATAAGCTTATATTTGTATTTATTTGAAAGCACTAGCACAACAACTATATTACTAATAATTAGGCTAGAAATAAAGTTGAAAGAAAAATAACGTAACGTACAAGTTTAAACAAAAAAATGCAAGAATGCATTTTTCACCTACAGTATCGGTCATATCTATAGCACGCCATTTCGAAGAGATATTGTGTGCAACTTATGTTTATTTGTTTATTTTTGAGAATTTTCAATTAAAATACAGTTCTTTCTCTAACAAACCCCAATAAACCCAAGTTTAACAATTTGCAGAAAACTTCAAAAAAGTGCAACAAATTTTCACCTTTATTTCAAACTTTTTTCTCAGAAGTGTTTGAATTTTTCTGAATACACTGTTTTATAGCCCAATCAATTTAAGTCTGATAATGTGCGAGTTTCAAGTGATTGAAAGTTACCGTTGATTTTTTAGAATTTTTTTCTCCAAAGGTGTTGCGGTTTTCATCCATATACAAATAAATTGAGTTTATGCATTATATGGAAGCCAATGCGACAAAAAAAAATCTAAAAAATTAACGGTAATTCGTAGCTACTTGAAATTGCACATTATCAGACCAAAATTGCAGTGGCAAAAAAACTGTGTACTCGAAAAAATTCTAACACTTCCGAGAAAAAAATTTGAAACTTAGGTGAAAATTTGTTGCACTTTTTTGAAGTTTTCTACAAATTGTTAAACTTGGGTTTATATGGGGTTTGTTAGAGAAAGAACTATATTTTAATTGAAAATTCTTAAAAATAAATAAATAAACATAAATGGCACACAATATCACTTTGAAATGGCGTGCTAAAGATATGACCGATACTGTACGTACTTGTTTCTTGCATCTTTGTTGACTGCTGGTTTTCAAACATCGAAAAGCATGGCAAAACACACGTGGAAGTTTTCTGAGAAAAAAGCCCATTATTCAAAAAATGCAAACAACGTGCACCATGATTCTCAGCCCACAAACTCTAAATTGAACATTTTTATTGCCCACAAAGCTTGAAGACCGCCAAATGAAACCAATTTTCAACCGACTTCCAAACTGATAACCTCCAGTTCGTCGGAATATTATTATTTTTTTTTATGTATGTTACCGTATAATTTTGGACCACGTCAACCGATTTCGATAATTCTTTTGCATCGGAAAGGCAGTGTCTCAGAGGTGGTCCCATACTAATATGGTTTAGATCCGATCATTGGATCATGAGAATTTAAGTCGGTTTGGTTTTTTGCTTACAAATTACTTGTTTATAGCTCTACTTAAAGTGGAATATTATTACCCAAATTAGAGTCCATTTTGAAAATGAGTTTTATTTTATTTAGCAAGCTATGTTAGTTTTCTTTTTTGTTAATCACACAAATATTACCTTCGTTATTCATTTCCATTCTCTTTTTTGAAGTATCTTTCTCACTCGAAAACTTGTACCTACCATTTCGAACTACAAGAATACTGACTACTAAAGAAAACAAGTAAGAAAGTCTAAGTTCGGGCGGAGCCGAACATTAAATACCCGGCGCAAGTATTAAATATATGTGTTTCACCTTTCCGAAAGCTACCGCTACATGGTAAGCCGGGGTGTATCAATTTTGAGTAAATTAGCGTCCTTAAATTTCGAAATATTGAAGTTTCAAGCATTTCTGGAATTTACCGTTAGTCTGATTTCAATAATTTTCAACGTTTTGCTTTTATGTGGCAAGCACAATAACCATACCGAGTTTGGTACAAATTGGTAGAACGGTTACCGAGATACATATATGTGATGATAAGTGGGCGGTGCCACGCCCATTTCCAAAATTTGATCATACACGTATTTCTTGGAAAGAATTGTTGCAGGCATCAATTTTGAATAAATTAGCTTTAATATTTACTGATTTATCGAAGATTTCGTATTTCCCAAATTACCGTTATATGGGATGTGACCGTGGTTATTGTCCGATTTTAAAAATTTAAACTGTACAAAGTTATACACATGTAACCATAAGTGGGCGTGGCTACGCCCATTTTCCAAAAATTTATATTTTTATTTGTCGTCTAAAAATTATTGTAAGTATCAATTTTGAGTGAATAATCTTCAGTAGTTACTAAAATATCGCAGTTTTCGTATTTCTGAAAATTACCGTTATATGGGAGGTAGGCGTGGTTATTGTCCAATTTTGCCCATTTTCAATACCATCCGTCCTACGCCCGAAAGAAGTGCACGTGCAAAGTTTCGTTAAGATATCTCAATTTTTACTCGAGTTATCGTGTGCACAGACGGACGGACGGACAGACAGTCACCGCTTAATCGATTTATCTTTTCATTTTGATCATTTATACATTAGTCCAAGAATTATAGAATACAAGATTGCGCCAATGAGAGAGGATTTTTGAGCATAATTTTTGCGTGACGTCATCTTGGTGCAATTGCGAGAGAGAAATGCCAAAACACATATAAAAATATGTAAACAATGCAGAAAAATGTGTTAATTACCTTCCTTTTATTAGCTCGGGATGTAACTATGTAATATTGATGCGCCTAAAAGATGCAGCGATTTCTATTCTCAAGTTACATACCTGATGACAGTACGAATGGCAATTATAATAGGGAGGTTTTAGTTTTTTAAACTATAATTTTATTTTAATATTACATGGCCCAATTTTGCAGGAATCAATAAATATACAAATATTGATTAATTAGGAACACGTAGCAATAATTTTGGACATGTAGCCCTTTAGGTAAGTACGATTTTTAGCACATGAAAAAATGGATGTATTAACAGTGTTTGCAATTTCATGTAGACCAAAAGGAAGGTGTGCAGCAAAGTGAATTTTTGGACTCGTCATTGTAAAAGGCCATGCAGGGTGCATATTTATATTTGTGGACGGTAGCCAACCACCATAAACTCCACAGCTTTTATTTGATGACTTTTGTACCATTTCCGAGAGGACGCATGAGTGTGGCTTCTTTGGAAACAAATATTCTATGTAAGTAAAACATAATTTAAGCTGAACTTTTAAATGTATAATTTGGGCACTGTTTTGTATTAGGTACGTAACAGCGCGGTAAGATGCCGCTTGACTTAGCGCCTGGCGACCTTATCCACTGGTGCATTACCTCATACCAGCACTAAAAAGAATAAGGTACTAACAAAATTAAGTAGGTAGTGAAGTTCATGTACCTATTTACTGTAGAAACTGCTTTTGTATGTATGCCATTGCCAGCAAACTAAACCAACAACTGTCTACTTTCACTATGGAAATATACCTACTACAATTCACCAAGGAAAGGCCAACATTGTTCCATGTAGAAGCTCATAGCTCACACACATAGCACAAAGCTCGATTTGGTGTTTAATACATCCCCTCGCCGGCAGAACTGCTTCTAATTTTTCGCCAGGCTTGCGTCCGTAGTAAACGAAAAAAAACTTATATTGCCACTTTCCTTTTGTTTTCACTATTACACTTTGATACTGCACACTTCATTTTGCTTTGTAATGTCTCAATAATTGTTTAAAACCACGCAGAAATATTAACGCACAAATATTTAAATTGTTATTTGGTTTTTTCGTATGCTCACAATCAACAATTGCACCAAGATGACGTCACGCACACAGCTTAGTCTGTCAAAATCACAAAGAGCGGATTAGCGGTACCGCGATTGGCGCAATCTCTATTTCTCTCAATCGTGACATTAGTCTATATCTATCTCGATTCGTTTTGCCTGTTACAAACAACCGTTATGTGAACAAAGTTATAATAACCTTGTGCACAAGTGCGCTCGGGTATAAAAATATGTAAACTTTTAGTAGAAATGTCAACTTTAACAGCTGATATCTCAACGGGAAAACTCTTTAATAAAATAATAAGTATGTATGACTTTTTTACTCTGGAGAATTAGTGAAGTGAAGGGACAAAAAAAAATCGATTTATCGATACTTTAAAAAATGACTTTTGGCCAGCAAATAGTAGCTGCCAGATACCATAGTGCAATGGATAAAAATATACGTACGGATATGCGAAAGACAATTTCATCTGTCTAAAGGAACCCTACTAATATTTCCTCCAAACACATATCGACTTACATCTTTTTGCTTAACTTTTATCTCGCTTCCGACACAGAATTGTTTTCGTACAAAATTACGCAAAAAAGCTGCCAAATTCTTACTCGCTCGTTTTTAGGCATGCCATTGTTACGAATTGGGAAAGTTCAAAAATACGATTCGGATTGCAGCATACCATTTCTACGATTCGTAGTAAAATTCGAATACGAAAGTGTTGCAGAATATGGGTGTTAATTTTATATTTGAATTTAAAAGTACCTATATTTGAATGTCAAAATCAGCGGAAACTGCAAACTCTAGATGCGAAAACACACACAAAGCAATACAGATCTTTCCGCAACTCGCTTACAGCCAACCAAGAATGAAATGAAATGCAAAGCTTTTTATGTTTTAAATGAATTTAATTAGTTATAAGATAATTATTTTACACAAAAGCATAACTGTTTAAATGTTACGCATCGAACGGGATATTCTGTCGTCCCAAAGTAACACGTATGTATGTATGTGTACATATGTATGAATATAACACATATGTATACAAAATTTATACAATGTGTACTTGCAAAACATTGGAGCCTGTTGAGGGAATACTGCGGAGTAAAGCCATTACTCCCCTTCAGCTTCGGGATCTGGGCGGCTTAGAATTTCCTGACAGAGAGCAATATAATCCTGCGAAGTTAAGGAAAAAAATTTAACGCATTTTAATAAAAATATTTAATGAGTTTCAATAAAAAAGTTTGTAACAAGGAACACAGGTCTTTATATTAAAAACATTTCACTTACATGGGGGAGCAGACAACATTGAGATGTGCATATATAGCCGAGAGCTCCTAGCATAGCACATCAAGACATAACTCGCCGTATAAACAAATGTATACATACACATATACATACATATGTACGCGAGCTTAGGTGTATTCTTCGAAGGAATTATTGTGCCCATTACAACATGAAAACACACAAGTCTATTGTTACTTTCGGTGGGATCCAAGTGAAAGTGGGTGTCTCCTATGAACTATGAAAATAAATACTTAAGAAAGTTATATTTTTATATCTTTTTACTGGCAGTGCGAGAAATTGAAGCTTTGAACAGCTCATTAGCATAATGCTCATACGCGTGTTGGAGTAGAACAAGTGTAGTATAGCGGCCGTTGAGGAAAGATAAAAATAAAAAGTGGGCGTGGTCTGCCCCTTTTTACTGATTTTAATGGTGTAAACCATTTTTGGTGGAAATTAATAGGGGCGGAGCTAAAGGGGGGTAAAGGTGAAATTTTCGATATTTTAAAAAGCTTATATATCGAAAACTATTGCACCGATTTTTAAATCGTGGACATGGTTTGAAAAATAATTGAAAAGCCTTTTATTTGATATGCATATTATATATTATATATGTATTTGGAAAAAAAACTAAAAAACGAAATTATAAAATTTTTTTTATAAAAATGTACGTTTTTCTAAAAAAAATACGTGATTTGCCAAATTACTATTTTTATAAAGTGCATAAAAATACCTTTAATTTTATGTATTTATTGTATGTTGCAAAAATTCTTTTGAGTAGGCGGCCTTTGGCCGCGCTTAGGGATTCTCCTTTCTGTGCTGCCGTAGAAGAGGGGCTGAACACCTTTTCCGGAGAACACCTTTTTGCGTAGGAGGCCTTCCTCCGCACTTAGGGACTATAACCCTCACGAAGTAGAATTCTCCATTCTGTGCTGCCGTAGAAGAGGGGCTGAACACCTTTTCCGGAGAACACCTTTTTGCGTAGGGGTTGAACACATTTTGCGGAGAACACCTTTTGCGTAGGCGGCCTTTGGCCGCACTTAGGAATTATAACCCTCACGAAGTAGAATTCTCCTTTCTGTGCTGCCGTAGAATAGGGGCTGAACACCTTTTGCGGAGAACACCGTTTTGCGCAGGAGACCTTCGGCCGCACTTAGGGATTATAACCCTCACGAAGTAGAATTCTCCTTTCTGTGCTGCCGAAGAAGAGGGGCTGAACACCTTTTGCGGAGAACACCTTTCTGCATAGGCGGCCTTCGGCCGCAATTAGGGATTGCAACCCTCACGAATTAGCATTATCCTTTCTGTTTTGCCGAAGAAAAGGGGATCCACAATGTTTTTGGTGCAATGGTTTTGGAAATAAAAGCTTTTGAAAATATTGAAAATTCTACCTTTACCCCCCTTTAGCTCCGCCCCTGTTAATTTCCACCAAAAAAAGTTTACACCTTTCAAATCAGTAGAAGGGAGCGGACCACGCCCACTTTTAATTTTTGTTTTATCTCAACGGCCGCTATACTGCACTTTTGCCATTGGAGTTTCGAAATCAAGTCAATATCATTACACGGTGTTACAAAAAAAAAAAAATTCCACGAACTTTTTAAGTGACCTAGCACAGGTAGTAGAGCTGGCCAATTAATTCACGAAACTGTTTTCAAAATTTTTCTGACACCCTCAAATTCACAACTTATTCTTAAAAAACCATTTTTTCATTACTTCCGCCAGAATTTTTAGTTCGGTTAATTTTTAACCAATTTAGAAAGAAGAATATTTGTACTATTTAAAGAAATAATAAGTTTTGTGAGCACATTGAAAATATGTGGAAAATTTATGGAATAAATCTGAAATTTAGACCAATTCTTTTTTTATTTTTACCACTTCTATCACATTTTTTGCCAAAATTTCTTAAGAAAATACTCTCTTTTAGCCATTACTTCGGAAATAATGTTTAATTCTGAGTAAAATAAGTTACGAAGATATGTCATCTTTTATAGAGACAAATTCAAATTTTTCCATACGAATTATTTCAAAGTGAATATGGAAGTAATTTTGGAAGAAATTTTTAGAAAATTCATATCCTCCAAAATTGCCTATTGATTTTTATAAATTATACCTATTTTTACTAGGGATTAAACATTCGTTTTGAAGTAATGATTAAAATAGGCTATTTTCTTTTGAAATTTTGGCATAAAATGTTGTAGAAGTGGAAAAAAATAATAAAAATTGGTGTAAATTTCAGATTTAATCTAAAAATTTTCTACATATTTACAATGCGTTCACAAAACTTATTTTATCCTTAAAGAGTACAAATCGTCACTAGGCACGAATAAAGGCGCGAGCTCAAAAGTTGACGGCGAAAAAAGACGCATAAAAAAACTTCAGCGTCAAAGACTCTTAGCATACTTCGCCGAAGTTTTTCATAAGCATCTTTTTTTGCAAATTTTTTTTTACGCGCCTTTTTTCGCCGTCAAAACACTAGCGCGCCTTTATTCGTGTGTAGTGACGAAATACTCTTCTTTCCAAAGCCATATAAAAACTTAAAATTGGGTAAAAAATAACCGAGCTGAAAATTGTTTGGTGCGGGAAGTCATGTAAAATTGTTTTTTTAAGAATGAGTTGAGAATTTGAGGGTGTTAGAAAAATGTTTAACGCAGTTACGTAAATTACTCGACCAGCCCTACGACCTAGGTCACTTAAAAAGTTCATGATCAGTGTTACGCCGTGTTATTAATTGATATTAACTTCACCGAAGGAATATCCTCAAAAAAGTGCATTAATTTGCATGGGGAGATTTAAAATGTCCGTAGCTCACTACGCTAAGCGCATTTTTAAAATGATTTCTGGCTGTTCGGGACATTGTTCCCCGTGTATCGATGCGAAACATTTCATTCTTAAAATATGGATGTATCAAAGAAATTACTTTTATAGCAGTTCTTGGCATACATATGTTTAACATGAGAAACTTTCTTTTTTAAGAATTTTTACACATCATATTTCAAATATAATATCGTCGCCTTAGAGTGTAAACCTGCTAACGACCAAAAAATATATTTTACTGTAGAGGCAAAAAACTAAATATATCTTTAACTCTTAGTCTAAGGGTCAAGTCCTACATATAGTTTGTTAATCGCGCGACGTTCTATGGCCCTAATCCAGAACGAATGAAAAAAACACGTTTTTATGGTTTTATTGGCGAATTTCTAACTTAGCAGGTTTTAGTTTTTGTATTTTCAAAATTGAAGTGGATTTAGCAGGTTTTTTTGTATGAATGAAATTGTTTCTATTTTATTTTTTGTGATTACGAGCTCAATTTAAATGTTAATTAAAATAGGATTCCATAGATAAAAACAATCATATATATAAAATAATACAACAGATTTATTCTTCCGTTCATTGCAACAAAAATAAGCAGTTTATAATACATATATTAGTAACTGAAGTACGTGAAGTATTCCTCTATCAAATTAATAGAGTGAAAGTCCACATATAAGATAATTTAATCCCAGAAAGTATGATACATATTATTCAATCATGAGGTAAATTGTCATAGTAGGTGTGGTAATCCTCAGGAAGTAATCGTTTGAAATACTGGAGATCTCATACTTTCTGCGAGCAATCGTACGCCTACTCTCGTATAAATTTGGAAGGTGAGAAAACGGCAAGGAAATCGCTACTGGGGATTTTCTTTGCGTTGGAGAATCTTAGTTTGAAATGTATGTCGCCACTTGGTGTATACCGTAGGGCTCGTATATCAGTTACTTTAGCAGCACCTTTGCCGCGACCGGGACGAATGCTATTAAAGAATTGAACTGTGTTAAAGGTTTTAAAGAACGTGTAACTAAGATAAGTTACGTCATATGGTTTTGGATTTTTTCTAGCTGATCTACATACTTCAACGTATTCTGCAGGAACATGTATATCTCTTTTCTTAAGTGCTCGTTCAATAGTGGAATGGATACAATCAGCTTCCATTTGGGTATGGCCTACTTCAAGAAACTTTTGCTCAATAATGATATTGTTATTTATAGGTGTGGATAACAAAGCATTAGCCATAATACAGTTTCGGTTTTGATATGTGCATCCGTCGCTATAAAAAGTTACTGTAATTGGCTCCCGGGAACTATTATTTTTTCTATCAAATCTACCCATACGCTGGAACACTCTTCTGCATTTAATCTTCCTTCTGTTTCGTTCCACAAGTAACAATAATTTCCTTGAGATATAAAAAATTAAAGCTTATTCGCTGGCTATTACCTTGGCTTAAACGCATAAAGTAATACTCTAAGATAGAACAATAATCGAGAGACAGAAGCAGAATATGTAGGATTTAGCAGTTGAATTTGAACTGATTGTACTAGCAGCTTTACTCATCAAACAATTTTTGACAATTATATTTTTATATTTACGTATTTTTTTCTTGCCGACTGCGGAATCGCCTACTCCTTCGAACTGCAGCAAAAGGTCAATTTTGCCAAAAAACGGATTTAGCAGGTTTACACTCTAAGCCGACGATATGATGGTTTGCAAATGACAATTGTTGAATAGAGAAGTTATAATTTTGCCTAAATGAAATTATGCCAATTATTTTCAGTTCGAATTAAATTTACTTTGTATTACGCACTTGCATTTAAAGTCATTATTTTCTAATATTACAATTTATTCATCGTTCAAAACTACATTAACAGAATGCAAATTGATGTGAAGCGGGTTATGTTTTTTAATTCCTACCAGAGGAGTTGTATACAAAAACTAAAAATTACAGCGTAATAGAAAAGGGCTAGATAGATTCTATTGAATTTCTTCACTTTTATGATAATTTGTGTATAAAAGGATTGTATGAGGTGAATAATGACTAACGTATGTCTCTCACATGCTTTAACTGTACAAAACTTCTATATTAGGACATATACATAGGAGGTTGACTGAAATAGTTTATATGTGATTTTTGTATTTCTCTAATACGTATTTTTGTGAATGTTTATAATGAATTCTGATATTTTTAACGTATATGGTGAAGGCGACTGCTGTGTAAAACTCAAAACATTTTGTGCTGCTTGGTTTTAGTATCGCAGTTTCTAATGTTTGTGTGTGTTCTTGGCTGCCTTTCAATTGTTTTTGTAAACAAAATGAGTTTCCTTTCCGATCTCTACATTTTTAAGTTTGCTTGAGTTGTTTGTGGTTTATAATTCTTAATTTTTATTAATTTTTCTGTTGTTTAATGTAAACGTTTTTATAAAATTTGATGTTCAATGCAATAATTATGAGAAAAATCAAAAATAAAAAGAAAAAAGGAAAAACGATATTAAAGTTTAATTGGTGAGCAAAGAAATTTCATTTTAAATTTACCGCTCGTAGTGGCATTTTAAAGTTAGCTGCTGCCTGCAGTTGAATTTGATAAGCTAAGCTATGAATTTTGAAGCCATAAAGTCTGTAAAAATGCACAAGAGATATTATTAACAAATGGAAATAAAAATATTTATACATATATGTTTGTTCATACTATTGTATATTATACTAAATTTCTATCCTATATGTACGTATGTATGTACCCTAGGGTGGTCCTTAAAATCAAATGAACGATTTTTTTCAGTCTGACCCTTCAATCGGTAACACCACTGTCATAGATATCACATATAAATTTTGGTCCCCATTGGAGACAGTAAAGGCGTGTCGCATAGGGGGCAAAGTTCAGATTCCTCTATGGAGACTTACAAAATTAAAATTAATTATTTTTTCCATATAATACCCAACATCGATACTATACTACCATAATTGAAGATATCACATATACATTTTGGTCCCGATTGGAGTCGATTAAGGCACTCCGCACATTAAGCTCCTAATCATAGTAGTGTAATCGTTTCGGCATACTAAAGTATAAAGCTTTTATGCCGAACACATGTATTTCAATGAAGCTCTGTACATTACGATTCAAAATCATGTTTTCGCCTAATTATAAAAACTTCATGAATCGAAGCGCCCAACATTGCAAGGCGCTTGCAGTTTCGAAATCGTCATCTGTTTACTTGTTGTTTGTGTTGGAAATAAAATTTATTTGTCAATTCAATAGAACATAATTGAAAATGAATGATTTCGTGCTAAAATTCGAGTTAATTGTATTAAACCACAAGCATTTATGCAATATTTCGGAGCAGAAATATTTGCGGAAGTGCGTAGTTGCGAAAGAACGGCCAGAAAATTTGTTATGTGTAGAAAGTGTTTATTAGCTGGTGAGCAAGAGTGTAGAAGTCGAGTCGTCATGCATTCGTTTCGGCATGACGAAACGATTATTCTACTTTGATTAGGCGCGTAATGTGCCGAGTGCCTTAGGCGTGTCGCAAGGGGGTCAAAGGCCAGATGCCTCCAAGTATTCAAAAAATTACGGAATATTTTTTTCATTTAATGCCCAAAATCGATACTACTAAAGTCAAGGATATCACATATAAATTGTAGTCCCAATTGAAGTCGGCTAAGACGTCGTCATAGGGTAATCTGAACTTTTACCCCGTGCGACACGCCTTAACCGACTTCAATCGGGCCTTAAATTTATATGTGATATCTTCGGCAATGATAGCATCAATTTTGGGTATTAGACGAAAAAAAAGTTATTTTAATTTTTTGAGTCTCCGTAGAGGAATTTGAACTTTGCCGTGCGCGACACGTCTTAACCGTCTCCAATCGGTATCAAAATTTATATCTGGTATCTTCGACTATAGTAGCATCGACGTAGGGGCTTAGGAAATCTGATGTAAAAATTTGCTCCCTACATTTAAGGACCACCCTAATGTAAAAAATTATTAAACATCTATGCGATTAACACACACTTAAAACATGCACGTTATTATTACGGTGACCATTTGTACCGATTTTGGCGGCACTGTACCGATTTTGAGAAAATTGTATCGTTAATTTTTAGGCTTTTATAATTATTTGTTAAGTTTGTTGTCTTCTTTGTTTTAATCAAACGATACCAACTGGAATTTAGTGAAATAAAAAATAATACTAATTACCTCAAAAATTCATGGATATCAAAAATATAAGCTGTATTCATAGTGTGGATACACTCTTAACAATTTTTGTTTAAATTTGCGCATATTAGGAGAGGTAACCAGATTCCTCTCTTACAGCCGGTTTCACCAGCAATTTAAATAGAAAATGGTTTTTTATTTTCTGTCAATTTCCATATATAATCCAAAAATTTAAGTCATTTTTCACATAAATTGCTTTCGTGAAATGGCTATGTATGTAGAAAATGTGTTGAAACATTTGAAAATCTTGAACATTTTATGTGCATATTTATGTGTTTATTTTAAACATCTTATTTTCAGAAACCCAATCTTAAAAATCTTTACACAGATTCAGGTTGAAATATAAACACTTTTCATTAGTAGTTTTATACGGTGTTCACATAAGTCGATTTTCCAGGCAATTTTAGAGGCGATTAATTGAATCAAAAGTTGGCTTTCCCCCAACTTCATTGGAAGCGATTAGTTGAAAAGCCGTTCACACCAGGCGATTGTTGCTTTCAACTAAAAGTTGCATGTAAAATCGCCTCATGTAAACACCGTATTACATACACTTTTTAGAGTAGACATTTTTGCGATAATTTTTTAAGTTTTCTTCTCTTTGTTTTGTTTTAAATAAAACTGTGATAAGAGATGTTATGTCTTTTTATTCTAAAAGCAGAATTGTATGTTGGGATTCGATGCTTATTAAATGTTCCGATGTTTGTCCACAGAAATCTGGTCACCGTAGTTATTATACTAAAATTTAACACGCTATGATACTCCATACCCAAAAATTTTATAAATTTTTCAAAATTCTGTATAAAGTTTGAAAGTTTGACTTACATATGGGTGTTTCCATACAGCCGTACGCGACATTCGTACGGTTATAGAGTAACGTAAATCTAACAAAAATAGAAGTTACTGAAAAAAAAGATTACGGTTATGTTGCAACCAAAGGGTACTATGTTTGAGAAAAAAATAAGCAGCCTCGAAACTTTGGTGTGGAAAATATCCGTTCAAAACCAGGTGATAACGTACGCGACAAAAAAAGAAGTGGTTTTAAGGCACATATACATATATGCGAAAGTCTGCGAATCATGAGAGTTTTTCTTTTCTTTAAAAATTCCTAAACTAAGCTAAATAATGTACCTTTACAATCCTTCCATTTTTTAAAGAAATTATCTCTGGTTAGTTTTTATTAAAAAAAATTATAATAACGTACGCGACAGATTTTTCCCCCATACAATATTTTTACTAGTAACACATACTAAATTAAATTTTTTCAGTTCTTCTCTCCACCGTTTCGCGTTTTCAAAACCTTTTTCCGCCATCTGAATACGAAATTTAAAGTTATAAAGCCGTTTGAATTCATTTGCTTGCATTTTCGGTTTACATTTTCATGGAAACACGCATATATGCGAAAGTCTGCGAATCGTGGGAGTTTTTCTTTTCTTTAAATATTCCTAAACTAAGCTAAATAATGTACCTTTACAATCCTTTCATATTTTAAGAGAAATTATCTCTGGCTAGTTTTATATTAAAAAAAAAACAATAACGTACGCGACATAACGTACGCGACAATTTTTCTCATAAGTAATAAAATGTATTTATTGAGAACTCTTCCCGCCACCGTTTCATTGTTTTACAACTATTCTAAATAATTTAAATAGAAAATTTGCAACTAACATTGGTTTTGATGTATTTGATTGAAATTTTCGTACTTACAATAACGTATGCGACAAACTTTAAAGGGTAATGAAATTTGTTTTACTTCGGTTGGAAAGAAAATTTTACTGTATATCTTTAACTGGAAGAATTCTCGCTTAAGAATTGTAATCTGCATTACCTGCGACTGCCAATATACAAATGACATAGACAAACAATGTTTTTGCACAACGTACGCGACATTAGAATACTATCAGAAGCAAATCAAAAAATTACCGTTAACCGAGCTCTAACTTCTCCTTTTTCTCATTTTTATAGTTAGTTGTTATTGCAAATTTGATTTTAAGATGTAATTGTAATGTTTCAAATCTCTTAATTTAGTTAATAGGAAAGAGAAAATAGTTCATTTCATTAGAGAAAACTGAGTCGAAGAGACACTCAGTTTTACTCTTCAATTTTTGAGTTTTAAAATTGCAATAAGCTGAAATACTTCTATAATATAAAAATTCGAGTATTTTACTCTTATTAATTCGTCTTAAAAACCCTTTTCAGTTGTTTTTATTTTTTCAGTCCTGGTTGACATTTTCATGGAAACACCCATATATATATGGTTTTCGTTAAGGTATGAAAAATATTGTTATGAGAAAAATTTTTTAGCTTGAAAAACATCGTGAATATTAATAAAAAAAACAGCATTCTTCCAGTTTCGACCACTTGTGTATTCTAAGCTACGCTATTTCACAATTATCTATTACCTTTATTTGAACGTCATCTTCTCTTCTCTTTATAAACTTCTATGATAAATAGGCGGTCTCCCATAAATGATAAATAGACATTGAAATTATATAAAATTGTATATTTTTGAAAGAGGAAAGGTGTGTAAAAAACAAAAACAATATGAATAAATCGTATTAACTTTACTAAAGGTCTGAAATCATGAAAATCCCTTCAAGGAAATGGCAGAATTAAACTTTGTTGCAAGTTCGCATGGGAAATCTGCTTACGACGTGATTGGAGGACATTTTAAGAGACTGGCAGCTAGAGCAAGTATTCAACTCCTGATGTTACAATAAATTCGTGCACCCGAAGCCCTCTACCAATGGGATGCCTGTAAAAATAACTGCAACTAACTTTTCAGTGGACTTTATTTCGACTATGACTACGTGCCAATTACTTTAATCTTATTTTAAGCTAGTTTAAAAGTTTAAATAACATCAAGTTAGGGAACTTCATATCCTTATTTAACGAATCTTTAAATCAATAAATATTCGGCCTCATTGCGAGAGTCGTGCCGAATGCAAGTCGTTTTTCGAGAGTCGAATCGTATCGAAAATTTAGCGTCATTGCCTAAAATTTCCACTCGACTAGTGTATTAAAACGGAAGAACTTGGCAGCACTGCATAGTTTTCGACAATTTTCGTCGTTTACTTATTTCAGCACGACAGTAGACAATGCTAATGTTGTCGAGTCGTACAATTCAGCCTAATTTACGACTTACGCAATGAGGCTGATTGTTTTTCTTTTTAGTTCTTATAGTAATAAAAGCGTGTCTATTTATCATATTGCTCTAACGTTAGACGATATAGAGTCCAAATGCATAAGTAGCTCATTATGCCCATTTGCATACTTAAAGTTAACATTATAGACAATGTTTTTATGTAAAAATAAAAATTTTTAAAAATGCTATAATAAAAAAAAAATCAAAAAGAAAAATGTTTACTTATTTTTTTTTTTTTTTTATACATTGCACATTAAT